CTGAAGCATTTACATGAGATTTCTGACACCGCAAAAATAAAACCAAGTCTACCAACACAACAATTACATACTATTATAAGGCTGGTCTTATTTAGACTGTGGAAGTTTAATTATAAAAAAATTGCATTTTAATTGATTGCTGCTGGAATAATTACAGCAACACCTTTCCAAGAAATGGCGACCATCATATGTTTGTCAACAAAGAAGCTTCCTTTAAATTCAACACCCAATAATTGTTTAATTAAGCCAAATTTAGATCCTCGTTTGACAACATTCAAATGTTTGCCTATTCCTTCCTGTCTCTGAGAGGTAATTTGAGAGATAAAAAGCAATCTCCAGAAATACTCTATCTATATACATAAGTATCCAAGAAAAAGAAGAAAAAGAAGTACTTCATTTCATAGCTGATCTGGATCTAAGCTTGCTGCTATTGATAAGAACATAAGCACAGAGTGAGTGATCACTACAAATCCCTCTCTAATTGGTGCTGGGAGGCCTTGATAAAATATGAAGAGACTCCAAACTACATGTTCATTTTCTAATATGCAGAACAGATTCAACTGTTGATATTCTAGCAGCACCCAGAGCCCGTAGTCAGTATGGACCCCACAGTAACTGTAGCTGTGCATACATGGAAGGAGAAGGATAAATGATTAACTGTTTTTCAGCCTCTTTACATGTTTTTTTTCAGCTGAAAAACACTGCTGCTGTCCTGTGCAGACCTGTGCATTTCAGGTGTGCAGCCCCTGAATGTCCCTTCTCAGTAGCCCAACACCAAAGCACACAAAATCCAATGGCTGCATCAGCAAAGCTACAGGGCTGCACTGAACGGAGGGCTTTTTAGTCGCTGGTCATCCCTGAGAAGTGGAGTGAGTTTTGCAGGGACAGATTTACCAAGCTGGTGACTCACCTTCTGTGAGTACCACTCAACAGGGCATGTCCCCCAGGTCACAGCCAGGGACATCTGCTGCTGAGCCACTGTCTTCCCCGGACAGTGAGAGCAACCACCACCGTCTGCCTGACACTGCCAGGGCTCACCTGGGGACTCCAGCCAGTCTGCAAGCAGGAGGCTCTGCACCACAAATTAAATGAAGCCATGGAGCTGCGGCTGAAACAACCCGCATTCCCCAAGGAGCTGGGCTATGCGCAGGATGGGGATGTGCATTACATGTGCATGAATGGAGGCTGAGGTGAAGAATCAAAGCATTACCAGCACAGGTTGTCTCAAGTAAGCAGCCTCTCATCTCTTTGCTGCCGACAGGACACGGTGCTCATGGTCACTGGACTTCCCAGGAACAGGAATTTGCAACTCTCTCTTAAGCTTCAGACCCCGTGCGTCTCCACATCTGGCACAGAGCAGCCCTCTTCCCGTCCCACACCTCCCAGCTCAGGCCTCACCATCAGCCCTGCCGTGCTAGGTCTGCCCTGAGCACAGTCACAGCAAAACCCAGCCAGGCAGAGTTTGCTAGAGACTGTGTTGAGGCCATAAAGCTCTTTTGAAAACATGGCTGAAGACAGAACCTGTGAACATGTCTTTAAAGATGATCAAAAGGGTTTGCTCTGCTATGTCACTAAGCAAACCTTTCAGCTACAGCACACCATCACTTTACCCTTTATAGTCACCCCGCACTGCTATATACTTCTGCTGAAGGAAGGACTCTAAATCCACCTTCCCCATGACCAATTGCTTTGGCCTTCGAAGAAACAGCACAAAAATATAGTCTCCCAACCTTTAGTTAGGAACCTTTAAATTAACAGGTGTGTATTTTCCTAGCCGTAAGCCACACCACGTACTCAGGTGCAAACACAGAGCATGTTCATTACCATCTATTCTGTGGGGTGGAATGAATTCAGGAAGATATATGAGTTATTGAAATGTGCCCGTGTTTCAGTGATACAACAATATTAGCATCAACCACACACATGAAATATGAAGTTGCTGCACATCGTATCTACTACCTATTTTTTCTTTCTTAATGATTACAGTTTGCTTAAAATCATAATCTACTGACATGTTATGCACAGGGACCACAGGACCCTGTAGATGGATGGTGCCCCACACAGAGGTACTCATAATCACTGCGTAATGATAAAAAGTCCACAACTGGAAACATCAGAAATGCAAAAGTTGTTGCTGGGCTGTCACAGGCAGCCCAGCACAACAGCAGCCTCCTGGTATTTTACAGGTTTATCACTTTCATGGGTATTATTGTTACCAATTTACGATCGTCACTAGCACATCATTAACAGCTCCCTATCACTGTCACCTGTGCACAAATGGGTGCATCTCATACTGTAAATTCACCCACTGTCACAGAGAAGCTTGCTCATCCTAACTGGTAAGCAGATATATGTCAGGCAGAGGTGTCACAGTTGATGCTGACATACATTTTGCATACAATCTCCTTAGACAGGGTGCTGTCATTTTGCTGCAGCTCATCCCGCCACTTCATCATCGCCCTGCAAGCTGCCCAACAAGGCTTTTTACTTCTGCCATCACCACTGATTCTTAATATATATTCTGTATTTTGAACGATGCTACTTCAGGCACTTGCCATAAGGACTGCATTTAGCACATGAGGGCAGATCCTAGCACGAGGCAGGACTTGCCATGGGGCTGGGACCTACTAGTCTTCCTCAGAGGTCCTGCAGGAGATCCTGACAGGGGCAGCACCAGGTTTATAGGGTCCAAACACCCCTGACTTAGCCATCAGAGAAACAGGTAGTGCCAATGACAAGGAAATGCTGTGTTCTCTATCTCCATGGGAACAAAAACTGGTACTTTTAACTGAGCCAGTATCATGGCCAGTCTTTTCTCAGAAGATAAGGACCACTGCGTGGGCAGGGTTTTTATTCTCTGTAAATAAACAGATCTTTCTGCTGATATCTAGTCTTGGCAAACAGGAAGGGAATTTGCTGGAAGATGAGGAAAGAGATAATTCCTGTCAAAAGTTTCACTCCAGCCCTAGAGTACTAAAACCAAGTCTCCTATCAGCCTGGGTTGGGTTGTTTTTTTCTTTCCCCTAGGGTACATGGAATAATATCTTCTTTTGTGCTTACAAAACAAATGCTGCCTTCATAGTCTGGAAGAACTTAGGAAGTTTTTAATTATAAGAAAAGGAAAATGAGGGCAAGTGAAGTTGGGCTGTGAGGAGTGCTCCGCTGGTCTGATCTAGGACAACGTGCCCTACATAGAGCTCAAATATAACATCCTTTGGGAGGTTGTCTTGCTTCCATTCAGCTTTTGTGAGACCACCCCCGCCCCCGTGGTACTAATGACAGATTTCTGAAGCATCACTAGTATCGTGGTCTTGCTATCAACGTTAATGCTGTAAACAAAACCATCAGTGGCAGGCAAAGAGAGGGAGGGAAAACTATGTGCAGATGGAGAATTTATTCTATTGATATTCTTGCAGTTTCTACTTTCTTCCTGCTATCAGCACTGAAATAGCTCATCCCCAGCCAGAGTCAGCAACTCTATCCCGGGTGGGTGACGCTTTCCCTTGATAGATACACGGTCTGTCTTTTTTTTTTCTATTTGTCTAGTTTTCCTGCCAAGGAAGTGCCATTGGATTGCACTAAAATAGTTGCTCTACCTTGATGGAAACCTTGTAGTTGGCAAATAGAGGGATATTAAGAAAAATAGAAAATCTTTAGATGTGTCATTAGACACGCCAATGAAAGTGTGGCCAAATTGTTACTTCTCTCTCTTATGTCACACCGGCCAGGAAATTCCTGCAATCTTCTATTTGCAAACCTTCCAAGAGAAAAAAAAATACAATATTTTTCTTTTCTTCAAAGAGCCTTATTAATTCCCCTCCTGTACATTCCCGGTTCTTTTTGCAGGAAAGCATTTTTCCCTTCTGTGTATTTCTGAGCAGAGAGAACAGTTTGTGTCCACCTCTACGCCACTCTCCACATGACTAAACTGCCAAGAGGATGTTTCGGTGAATCAAAAGGATACTACGGACATGAGCCAACAACAATCCAACAAGCTCTGCAAAGGGAAGGGTTCCTCCAGTCCCTCCTGACAGTCCTCATACACACACACAGAGGCTCAGAGAGTGAAAGCAGTGTCTGACACCAAGTTGAACCGAGAAATTCTTAGTGCATCGCATCCTGGCGGTGCGAGCCCCCCATGCACAGCACAGCACCGCGCCGCTCGCTCCAAGGGAAGTAAATGCTGCAACAGCCCCTAACGCAACCCCCGGGCTGTTTTATGGGGTTTGTTTTCCTCTGGTTCCCTCCCAGTCTTGTTTGTTGCTTGTTAATCTTGGCATTACCTGGCAAGCCAGTTTTTCTTTTTCCAACTGTATCATCTAAGAACAGCACAGTTAATGTGCTGTGCTTTAGTAGGATACAGATACACACTCCAGCATCGACTTTGGGGTGTGAATTCAGTCTTTAATACTTGTTTTTAAAGCCATTGATTTCACTGGTTCTTGAAACTAGAACTCTCTTACATCCCTGCATTATCAGGCATGCCCCTTACTGTGGATATGGACTCCACTTGCACCAAGCTGCTGTTTTCTGCTAGGTCTTTCCTAAATTACAAGGACAGATGGCTAAACTGGGGCTGAAGAAAAAGCTGTTCACACTAAACAGAGACTTCTGTACACCCAGTGGGTGGAAAGGGGTGTCTCTGTTGTACATCAGGGCTATAGGAAATATGGGAACGAAACCTCAACATAATGAGTTGGGCAGAGGTTAGAGAAACAAGAGGAAATTAATTGTTGGGGGTTTTACACTGTTTTGGAAGCAATGAAAGAGAAAATGCAAGACATGCTGAATAACTGCAGCACTATCTCACCCCTATGTCTTAGCACAAACCCAAATGATTCAGAAATTGTTTGCCAATGTGTTTGGGGTTTTCTTGCATGGAACCTAAAGGCAAGCTGCATGTTTTGAGCAAGATGTCCTGTATGTCTGACACAAAAAAAACCCCAGCCAAGACTAAAGAAACCAAAGTAAGAGAAAGTATGGCAAACGCCGCTACTTACAGGTGTATGTCATTTCAAAGCTGTCGCTAATGTTCACAATGTCGATCTGGGGAAGGAGCTTAGGGGGTTCCGTGAGCTGAGACAACGCAAACCTAAAAGCCGCATGTTCCTGGGACTGTTGATTAGGAAATAACCCCCCTGGGGAGAAAAACAGAACAAGAAGAAAGGTCTTAAACACACCCGTATTAGCAACCTCTTCAGTCCAAAATATTCCTGTGAGCAGAGGCTACAGCTCCCCAGCCCAGGGAGTGCCTCGACACTCAGAAACCCTCCAGCATGCAAGACCTGGGGGGCTTCGTGCCCACTGTGGACAGGCTGGGAGCAGAAAACCTTTACAGCTCGTGCATTATGTAACGCCTGGATCACATATAGGAGCCCTGATGCTTCCGTGGGCCTGGCAGCCTGTGGGGTCAGGGTGAACCAGGGCTTTGGCTCAACCTCCTCACCCCCCATAACTTTAAGAAAGAGAAATGGAAGCACTGTCAAGGTTACCTTTATAAAGGAGGAATGAGAGTCTTTTTTCCTCCTCTCCTCACTTGTAATTAGGCTCAGTTTAAACCCTGCTGACTAAGAGGAGGCATTTGCTCCAGAAGGGGTGCAGGGGTTCCCCCACCCTATGGGACTCAGGGGTATGGAGCAGACGGACCCAACGAGTGCAGCACTGGGTGGATGGGGGACAGGGCTGCGAGAGCCAGAGCAACGTGAGACCCATGGCCAAACAACTGCTGCTACTGGAAGTTTGCTGCATGGAAAAATCCTAAATTTAACAGGTGACAGTGGCCAGACTCAAAGAGGGAAGGAAATCAAAAGCTTGAGCCTCAAAGGGATCGATCTGAGCAGAAGTACAGACAAGCCCCGAACCAGAGGCTGACATAAATAGGACAGAAACTGGGACCAGGCTGGACCCAGGCTTAGAGCCTTTCTCTCCCCATAGACCAGCCGGGATAACCCGACCCTAGGAAAAGTTTCCTGCCGCTCCCACAGCAGGAAACTTGGCTTGTGGCAGATCCCTTCACAGCATCCAGGAAGATGGTATTAAATTCAGACCGTCTTGTAATTATTTGCATTTAAAGAGAGCACTGTAATTGGCATTTTACGAGTAGGGAAAGAAAGCACTTAGCAACAAGGTGGAATGAAAATGAAACTATTAATGCCCACCCCTCCAGGGCAGATGGCTTGGGGAAGAAACAAATGTGCAGAGACCTGCACTCTGCACATCTTTAGTATGAGGGCATCTCCTTGTTGTGTGGAAAGGGCTATTTGTGCATGAATATCCGCCCCCCACACACACCCCCGCCCCGTTCCTCCCACCCTCCAGCCTAATCATGGGTGTCAGAGGAATAAGATGCTAGTAGACGAGTTAAGCTCGGCTATATGTGTTTGTTGAAAGGAAAAAATCTGGGATGTTGCACAAATTTGGGGTTAAAGGGAGTCAGGGAAGGATGCAGCAACAGCAATAAAAGCACCGATTGTGCAGCTGGAGTCAGACAGGAGTTGCCTGAACTTGGTGGGTTAGCAATTGATTGGCATTGTAAAGAGAAGGGAGGCGGGAAAGAAAACCGGCATGCAAGGGAAAAGAATTTTGGGGCTAGGCTACAAACCATCATCAATAAAGATCAATGGGAGCGTAATAATAAACCTGGGGGGGAGGGAGGGAGGGAGCGGGGGAGGGAGAGGAGCGCTGAGAAGTTACAGGAAGGGAGAAAGGAATCAAACAGGCACTGCTGGTGTGCAGGGGAAGCAAGTAGCATGAAATGAAAAGAGACTTCAGTGGAAAATCTTCTTCCAATAGCTCTGGCCTTAATTCTTTAGCAACAACAACAGAGAGCGCCTGTTTGTTACCTCTCGTCCCAGTTACCTACAGATGAGAGCATCCTCACAAAAACGCATAATGCAACCTCTGATTTTGCAAATGCAGCAACGCACAATGGCAGCCCAGGCATTTCTCAGAGCAAGAACCAGATTTTTTTTTTTTTTTCGTGCTTCCTCCATTTCAGAGGCACTTTTCTCTCTCTATGTTGATGTGTGTGCAGGCATTTATTCCCAATCTTCCCCTCCCCCAAAGCCAAATTGATATATCTCTGCTCTTGCAAAGCTGGTACCAACGCACAAATCCAGACCTCGCGGTTCACCCCCTCGCTCTCTCTCTCTCTCTCACACACACACACACACACACACGTATTTTGCTTTTCCAAGCAACTGAGCAGGTCAGTTTTCCCCCACCGCCCCCTCTCCACCCCTGCCCCCCCTTGCCGGGGCACGGCACCCCCAAACGTCCCCGAGCTCTGCACTCACCTATCTGGATATTGTTGGGGAAATTGGCCCCTAACACCGCCCCTAGGAAACTGGTGCAGAAGAAGGCAAAAATGTGCTGCATATTCCCTTTTGCATTGGCGAAAAAGAAGCCCAGTTCCAAGCATAGATTTGATTTTTCCCCCGCTCTGCTCTCTTTAGCTGCCTCTCTCGCCTCCCCTCCGCTGCGCCTTCAGGGTTGCGCGTCTCCCTCGCTCGGAATCCAGCGCTGAGACTGCTGCTAAACACCGCCTGGCAGCAGGATTAACTGAGCCCCGTGAGAAAGAAAGAGAGCCCGCTCCTCATCCACATCCCTCCCCCGCCACACACAACACACACACGCACACGCCAGGCGCTTCCACCCAGCTCCTTCCCCTTTTCCCAGTTGGAGCTCAACAGCTGGGTACCGCATCCCCCCCACCCCGCCCCGCCTATCCCACCCGAGGGTCCTGGATGGGGTCTCTGAGGGCAATTCCCACCTACCCCTAAATTCCAGGCTTTCCCCCTCAACTTCTCTTGGCAGGAGCTAGAGGAACCTGCAAATCAGTAGGTGGCAAACTCCTCTAGAGAAAGGGCTTAAACTCCACTGCCTCTGATCCAGCTTCCCAACCTGGGCTCTCACCCCTGGGTCCAGGAGTTGAACTGATAAGTCTCTACAGCCTGGCTCATGAGGATAACAAAGAGGGTCGTATCCTGCAAACGTGCCTTGGAAAGAAGGGTTTCAGAGCAAGAGATCCCGAAGGATGAAAAAAAAGGACACCCCACCCCCCCATCATCTTTCTCATTGATTTTTCCTGCCCACGGTTAACCTACGAGGCTTTTCACCCCTGCGTTTAATGTGGAGGAATCTGTGCTCACCAGCACCATCAGATAGGGCAGGCTTGTGAAATTAGGTGGCTCTGCTAGCCTGGATCATTATAGGAGCTGTTTTGTGGCAGTTCTAGTGAGGTTGAAGCTTATTTAACCATAAGCAGCTTTGCTCAAAAACAAAGGAGGAAAAAAAAAATCAATAAAAGTAACAACGATAAAATACAGCTCCTAGGAACAACCTGGGATTTAGAAATATTTGTGGGAGAACTGTTGTGAACACAGAGTCATAGCCATCTCAGAAAGTAGAGAAAATTCACCGCTTCCCCTCTGAAACACATAAAAGTCCCAAACCAAACTTGGGGTCTCTTGCACCAGAACCTGGATACCCATGTTCAAGCACAGAGATTCTGACCTTACTGTTTGCAGCCTTATTACACACAGGGGGTAAATAGCAGAGAGGAAACAGAAAGAAAAAAGGATGTTTGGGGCAGAGTTAGAAATAGGACTCAGATGCCCCATCTTGGTTTGGTGTAGGGTGCCTTGCCCTGGTCCCCACTCCCCATCTCCAGAAGCATGTGGTTAAATGGGAAGAGCATCAGAGTGGTGACCAATGTTCAAAGGTCGGGAATTGCTCCCACATAAGAAAGAGTTGGACAGACAAGGACTCTGCAGAGTGGGAAAACTGGAATGGGATGTGACCAAAGCCTACAAAATCTGCAGTAGCATGGAGACATTCCCCGTTGGCCACAGGGCCCAGGTCTAACATAACTTTATAGTGCAGGGACAACAGTACTCTTTATATCCTCAAGCATTTTATGAACAGAATAGTCTTGAAAACAGAGGTAACAGCATCTATTTGTTGGCAGGTCCTCTACTTCCTCTGAAAGAGATTTACTATAGGTTTGCTTCCCCATCCAGCCCTTCCTGCCAGCTGTGACAGAGGCCGTGGGTAGAGGAGCATCATACATGGTCCTGCATCTCCACAGCCAAACGTGACAATGGCTGAAAAATCATCCCTCATGTGGCTACGGGCAAAGGCTCTGGGTAAATAAGAATGGATCATGAACCTTGTGCAGGCCTTCATTTCATCTCTGCAAATAAGAGTTTGGGATCTTTAACTTCTTCCTAGACAGTTTTCTGGATTTCACTGTGACTTTCAACTTAAAAACCCACATAAATTCCAGAGTAGGTGTAGGGTCTCAGCACCATACTTCAATACCTTGCAGCAGAGAGGAGTTGGACTGATGCCTGCAACTTTGTGGCCTCTTACAAGGACAATAAGTACAGTTACACTGTAAAAAAACAGAGCCCAGAAGACTTGCATCTTCCTTTTTGCAAGCAATAAAACATCCTTCTAGGATGCATTCCTTTTTTTCCCAAACCACCCTTGACCAGAGCAATGACTCTTAGTGCCAGAGACTGCAGGTTCATCAGAGCAATTGCTCGGGTATCCAGGAGTCAGTTACAGGAGCCAAAAGATGCTCCTACCTTGTCCCACTGCCAGGGTGACTGGCATCCTAGAGTCATATTCAAGCACAACAAATTTACATCTGCTCTTGGATAGGTAGTACCTTCATCAGACTTCCATTTCACTCCTTGTATAATTTAAGCAATACTGATTTGAGGATAAAATAACCTGCTGATAGGTTTTATGGGCTCTTGCTTTCCATCCAGAATTTAATAGAAACAGCTGCATTTATAATCTGAAGAAAGGCACTGAAGGATAACCAGTGCAACAGAAGGATGCTAGCACATTTTCAAAACTCCCAAACAGCCTATCTGATAATAATAGTAGCCATAACAATAAAATATTGTAATAGCTCACAGAAAGCTTTCACAGTCGCATTAATTAATAATGTTACTTTTGTCTATAAACTTCCCAAAGTGCAGGTGGCTTAACAAGGAGAACCTCACCACAGTGTAACAAGATAAGTGGTAATAAGATCATTATTTTAAGAAGGTATTCATTTTCTTTTCCCCTAAAGGTAACAGCATTTTATTCAGAGTTTGTTAGCACAAGGATGTTAGGAATTAACTCTACCTGATCTGAAGGTTCTTTAAATCAACATCAAAGCATTATAGCTTCTGAACTTTTGGCTAAACACCAAACTAAGTCTTGGAAAATTGATGAAACACTTCGATGTGGTCATGACAGAAAGACAGATCAATCCACCAGTCTTCTGAGAGAAGAGCCCAATTGAATTATCAAGAACCTTAAAAAACAATTGAAGGAGTTTATTCCTCCTTTCAGATTTGAGAAAACAAAATAATTCAATACAGCATATAAGTATATTGCACAGTGCCATATAAACTAAAAATACTAGGGAGTGGGGTTTTGAAGATCTGTATTTTGTCTCAAAGGGTCCTTAAGACATAGGTGGGACAGGCAGGCATCTGGTGGTTAACAGATAACATCCCACAAGGTCTTGTGGGATTAATCCATGCAACCGAGTGTAAAGAATTAGGTCTAAAGGAAAAAAAAACCAACCAACTCTTCAATTTAAGGTAAGAAGTGCTATCAAGAAAATTTAAAAGCGTGTAACTGGTTCACTTAAAATCTTTGCCAGACATGAGAATAAGAAAATTAATACGTCAGAGCTACCGTTCCCGTTGTGCCCTGCTTGGAGCTGACCTTGCTGTACTGGGCAAGAACTTTTGTTCTCAGCCATTTCTGCTCCAAGGTTTTGCACGCCAGAGAGTTTTGTCTCTGAGGAGGCTGTCTGCCACCTTCCTCTTTGCTCTGCTTTCCTTGACATGAAGTTGTCCACACGAGCAGAATAGTCTGACTCCACTATCAGAGCTTTTGTTTCCAGGATAGGAAATAAGTGGTTGTTGCAGCAGATATATCTCTGTACCAGGAGCCTTGGAAAAACAAAGGACTCATTCACATGCAGAAGCTTCCAGCCTTGAAAAAATGAGGAAATCAACAGAACTCGGCATCTGTCCGACCTCCCAGCAGAATTATTTCCCCCCGTGCCCACTGTATTTTACAGGATGCTCCTAAATGTCTTTAAAGAGGCTACTGAAATACCACTATTTCTGAAATGCCTTTTTTTTTTTTTTTTTTTTCCTAGCTGGACAATCTCTATAGGAGGCTTTTGATAAAGAGCAAAATGTAATTATAGTGATTAATTTCATTAAACTCCAAACAACACAGACTCTCATATGGGTTTCGCAGAGCCTTGGCATAAATGAATGCTAATGGATTCACGTGCATTTCTCTCCCTGCCTTGTTCACCTCAATTTTGTTATTTTGGATAATGTACCTCTCAAGGAATGATTGTAGAGCAGGTGCTGAGAGGAGAGACTTCCGAAATTCAAAATGAGGAAAATTTGGGAGTAATCAAAAAGGAAAAGGGCTGAGACAGCTCCCTCCATTCACAGCACTGACGTACCGGGAAGCGTGTGTGCAGATAGCCCTTGGCACACCTACACCCAGCAAACATATGCACAGTCACTGGTGCCACCCACACAAAAATGACACCGATAGACATGGTTAGGAAAGCGTACGTGTGCTGTACGTGCACACACACACTCACCGGATCGCCCAGCAAGGAGCGGGTGGCACAGCTCAAGGGTGTTTGCCCACATGTGAAGATGCTGCGGAGAGACCAGAGTGGCTGAGGAGCCCATTGCACTCCCAGACTGTTTTCTAAAGCAGAGTTCACCCTGCACAGGGATTTCAGACCTGCAGGGACAGGGAGCCAAGCCCTTAGCCCTTCACTCATCCATACTCAGAAAATTCCTACTAAAGTAGAAACAGGGGGATTTCAGGCACTTTATGGTCATTTCCATGCATCCATACATAGTTTATTTTACATCAGACACTTCAATCTTTTAAACTTGGAAGGGATTATTTCCACCAGATGCTGAAAAACAGCATCTACAAACTGTAGTTGCCAAATAATTTTTGGTGGAATCTCCTTTACAAAAATAGCCTCAGCAAAGTTTGGTATCAGAAGGAAAAAATCTGCTCCCATCAATGAGTCAGGCCTGAGGTATCTGTGGCCCCTGTTTCCTTTACATGGCAGCTGGAGTTGTCAACTGAAAAGCTTTGACATCCCAGAAGCAACTCAAAGAAGTTAAAGGAAACATGAGCTTCATCCTTTTCCAATGCATGCTAAAATGCAAAGATGTGGGACAGGGACAACACCCAAGATGAGGATAGCTCCAAGCAGGTCCTGACTAATGCCAAACATCTGGGGGCTGATGATTTAAGATCACCAGATATTGTTTCTTAATTTACTGACTGCTGATGGGGGAAGCCTAATGTGAACTAGGACTGGAGAACGTCAGCTTTTCCCACAAACTGTACCAGAATGTTTTTCTGTTGTCATTCTGATCCACTTATTACCATATTTATAAGAAATGACTTCTTACTCACTGTGGAATAATTAAGTAAGTAAATGGACTGGAAGATAAACCCGTCAATCAGAGTGGCACTGAAAACACTGCGCACCCTTCAGCTGGAAATTCAGCAGCAGCAGCTGGCAAAGGGA